AGAAATTTAATGCCTACAGGAATTCAGTCTTTACAGTTATCATTTATAGCCAGTTGTCAAAATGTTAGTAATTAATAGAATTAATGTTGATTATATTCCTTTTTCTTTGCTGGTGGTTACTTCATGATTTAAGTTTTCTTAAACTATTTTCTACACATACAGGTTGTTTGTGAGATAATGAAGATTCAGATGGCCAATGAAACTAACTTGGAAATCTAGTTAGTCATTGTTATTTCCTTCTCTGCCATTCTTCTCAAGTGATAGAGTACTTGATTTTATCTGAGTCCAGTCTGCAATAATTTTTCTGTCTTTCCATTATTGGAGCTGCTCTGTTGTTGACCTTATTTATACTTCAAAATCTGAGAGTGATTGTGTTTTTGACATCTGGGTATCCTTTATCTGACAGATAATGTTTTGGGATCCTAAGTTAATTTGAAGAGAGTACTTTCTTTAAGTACTTTTCTTTGCAAATGGTGTGCTTTTAACACCTGCTTACAGAGTCAAATGGTTGCAATACTATTATAAGATCACTTTTTCTTACCAAATTTAAGCAGATGTATAAATTAGGAATAATTTATGCATTCCAAAAACATTTTCAGTGTAATAGGTACTAGTGTTACAAAGGTGAAAAGATGCCATCACTACCTTTGGTATGGATAAATGGCAAGAACTTGGGGTTTGGAGTTGCTTTGATCCAAACTTAACTTCAGTATAAGCTTCAGTTTCTTCATTGGAAACATGGAGATAATCATGATTGTCTACAAAATGTTTATGAGACTCTTATACTAAGGGTTTGTAAATTGCTAGCTGCTGTTATTTGAGGAGTCACTACAGATCAGATGCTCAAGTGGATAGGAATTGCTAGAGTGACACAGCTAGAGTGCTATATCACCATCATCTAGAAACATTTCTTCCCTTGTGAGGCAACTCTCAAAGCATACACTTTAAGACTTTAGAATGCTTGTGTAGTTATGATGTTGTGATGTAAATGTAATTTGAATCTGAGGCATAAAATTATACCATGTTTACCTTTCTTTTGATGCTGCTACATGCCTGCAGATTCCTTATAAGTGGAGGAAATAATTAGCTTTTCAGCACCTGTCAATGGACTGCTTTCCCAAGGATTACTTAATAAGCAGACTCCCTAAGTGGAAATGTCAAGTAATTGAGAAACATGGAATTAACTAATGTTCAAAATTTAATTGTGCATTATGTCCATTTTTGGTAGAATTATTTTTATTTTTTTATTATTATTTTTAAAAGATGGGTCCTTGCTATGATGCCCAGGCTGATCTTGCATTCCTAGGCTCAAGTGAGCCTCCTGCCTCTGCCTCCTGATTGTCTGGGATTACAAATGTGTGCCAGTGTACCTAGCTAGAGTGAGAAATTTCAAAAGTCCCATTCAGTATTAAAATTATTGAAGAGTACATTTATGCTTCTGTTTGCACATACCATTCAAGCATATTCATTCTTCAATAAAAATTAATGTTTTCTCTTTTCATTTCTAACTTTACACATTCTATTATCTTGCCACTCTTATAGATGGCAAACACAGCAAACACAGTTGTATATGTAGAATTTAGGTTCATTTTTCTCCCCCATAGAACAAAGTCTTAGGCAAAGATTGTCAGTATTTGTTGAGTCTGTGTATGTAAATAAAATGTGAACCAAGAATGCACTTTTGTCAGAACCAGTTTTATAATACATGAGTCTGAAAAGATAAAGAAAACCAGATATTGCCTTGGATTTTTGCCTCTTTCTTACATTGGATCATCATGTTCTGAGTTATTTCTTTTTACTGGCAACTTTATTTTCTTTTCATACTAATTTATTGCTATATCCCTCGTATAGTAATAAAGTATGAGCTATCTCTCATAATTTTAAGAAACAGGGGTAGTTACAGACATTATATATTCTCTTATCTGATGCTATGATGGATAGGAACAAAGCCCTTTTAATTTCTTGTAATTTATAAATAGAAAGCAGTACTCATGATTTTCATTATAGAACTGTCTAAAAGATTATGCTGTAATTTTGGGGAGGGCAGTGCAACAGCTTCATAAGTGTTGCCAGTATGTTTTTCCTGTAGTCCAGAGCAGAATTTCTTTGTTCTTTGTATGCTGGACTTCAGGGAGATGTTGGTTTGTGACTCTTCCTGGTCCCCACCCCCCCCCGCCCCATGAACTGGCCAATTAATGGAAGACTTCCATGACAGCTCCTCATTCCTGTAATAGATAGTCTGGAATCTTTGTTCCTGCCTCTTTGCCAAGACAGAAAGAAGGGGTGACTGAGGCATGAGCTGCCATCCTTGCTTCACCACCAATAAACCTTGTGATCCCGCTGTACCTCACTTTCATCATATGTAGAATAAAGTTGTTAAGCTAAATGAACTCAATAAGGCCTCTTCTGACTCTTTTTTGTTAATTTTTTTTTAGTTGTAGATGGACACATGCCTTTATTTATTTATTTTTATTTTTATGATGTGCTGAGGATTGAACCCAGTGCTTCACCTGTGCTAGGCAAGCACTCTACCATTGAGCCATAACTCCAGCCCCACCTCTTCTAAAACAATCTCATGTTCCTTTGGGGTGGTGGTGGTAAAAATATAATATAAAATCTACCTTAACAAATTTCTAAGTGTAACCGATACAATGTTGTTAATTATATAAGCATTATTCAGTAGATCTCTAAAATGTTTTCAGTTTGCATATTCCCAGAGAATAGCACCCCCTCAGTTTCCCTGACCCCTGTCCACTGACAACCATAGTTCTACTTTCTGCTCTCAGAGTTTGACTACTTTATGTACCACAAATAAGGAAACCATGCACTATTTGTCTGTGGTTGACTTGTTTCATTTGGTAGAATGTCCTCAAAGTTCATCCAAGTTGTATCATATGACAAGTTTTCCTTCTTCTTAATGGCTAAATAGCACAGACCCCATTCTTTTTATCTATTTATCCATTGATGAATATTTATATTGTTTTTAACTCTTGTGAATAATGCTGCAAGGAATATAGGAGTGAAAATGTCTCCTTGAGATTCTGATTTAAATTCTTTTAGGTAAATATTCTTAAGTGGGATTGCTGGATTTTATGATAGTTTTATTTTATTTTTACATTTAAAGTTTTTTAATAACCACCATACTGTTCTTCATAGTGGCTATACCATTTTCCATTCCTACCTGCAGTGCCTGAAATTTCCAAATTTTCCACATCCTTATCAGCATTTCTTTTTTGTTTTTGAATTTAATGATGGCTATTTTACTAGTAGTGAGGTAATATCTCAAAATGGTTTTGAATTGTATTTAGTTAGCAATTACTGACATTAAATAACTTTTTATGTCTGTGTTGGCCATTTGTATGTTTACTTTGGAGAAATATCCTTCTGCCTTCTTAAAATTGAGGTGTTATTATTATTTTGTTGAGTTGTGGGGTTTCTTACATATTTTGGGTATTAACCCCTTATGAGATAAATGGCTGGCAAATACTTCCAGTGTGTGGGTTGCAATTTTCTCTGTTTATTGCTTGCTATGCTTCAGAGAAGATTTTTAGTTGATAGAATCTACTTTACTCTTTTTATCTTTTTTTGCTTATGCTTTTGGTGTCAGATCAATGAAATTATTGCTGAGACCAATGTTATAAAGCTTTTCTAGGGGCTTTATAATTTCAGATCTTATATTGAGCTAATTTCCTTCTATTTTTATTATGAAAAGCATTGAATTTTGTCAAATGCTCTTTCTGCATTTCTTAAGATAATTATGTGATATTTCCATCCTTTGTTCTATTAATGTGATCTGTCACATTGATTGGTTTTCATGTTTTAAACATCCTTGCATCCCTGAAATGAATCCCACTTGATCATGGTGAATGACCTTTTTTAATGTGCTGCTGAATTCAGTTTGCTAGTAGTTATTTGAGGATATTTGCATGTGTGTTCATCAGGAATATTGTCATGTAGTTTGATTTCTTGTAATATATTTGTCCAATTTTGGTATCGGTAATTCTGGCCTCACAAAATTAGTTTGGAAGTATTTTCTTCCATTCATTTTTTTTTGGGGGCGGGGTGGGGATTTGGGAACGATTGATGTTAATTTTGAAATGTTTGGTAGAATTTTTCAGTGAAACCATTGCATCTTTAGAATTTCTTTGTTGAGAGTTTTTTCTTTTCCTTGCAGTACCCAGAGCCTCACACATGCTAGTTAAGCACTGTACCATTTAGCTACTTCTCTTACCATTGTAAATTTTTTGCTTTGAGATAGAGTCTCATCTAAAAAATAAAAAAGTTACCTAGTCTGGCCTCAAACTTGCAATCCTCTTGCCTCATCCTCCTGAATAGCTGAGATTGCAAGTGTGTTTTACCATGTTGGGAATTTTTAAAAAAATTTTTAAGTTAAATTATGAATTCAATCTCCTTACCAGTTATGGATTTGTTCAGATTTTGTGTTTCTAAATGTTTCAGTTTTAGTAGGTTTACATTACTCAGAATTTATCCATTTCTTCTAGATAACACAGTGTGTTGAAATAAAATCATTTATATTAGTCTTTTATAATCCATTTTATTGTTCAGCATAGTTTTAATGTCTCCTCTTTTACATCTGCTTTTTTTTTTTTTAAAAGGAATGAGAATGTGTTAGTCAACATAAATCCGGACTAGACTGTTCAAAGAACTCAGATTGCACTGTTTCTACCATTACATCTACTTTTATATATTTGTATCTCTTTTTTTCCCCCCTTAACCTAGCTAAAAATGGGTTAATTTTATGGATCTTTTTATAAAATACCTGTTTGTTTTCTTCCTTTAAGTAATGTTGTTGTTTTCTAGTTCCTTGTGGTATAAAGTTAGGTTGTTTGAGATCTTTCTTTTTGTTTTTTTTTTTTTGTTGTTGCTTAACTGATTTTAATAACATGACATAAAGCCCCTAAACTTGATATAACAGTTATGCAAAATACATAGATGAATACTGTCTTTTTCAAAAATATAAAATAAATAAGCACGACATGTGAAAATAGGCAAGTTTCCATTAAATAAATGAAAAGTTTAAAAAGAGAAAATTTTCCTTTCCATATCATTTGAAGAAGGGAAATTATCATTTTAAACAATATTCAGGTTTATTAAACAAATAAAAAAAGTATTATAAAATGTTTAACTTTCATCAGCTTCAAGATTTATGTTGCTGCCAAATTTTGCATATAACTGAACTTTCAAATCTGCTAACACCCGCTGAATTGATTCCACTCTGGATTCTAAGGCGTCAATTTCTTCTTGCAAATTTTTCTTTGCTTCCTCTAACATTTCCTGTGTTTCCTCTTGAGAATGGCTAATGAAAACATCCCCAATTTGATAAGGTATCATTAAGCAGTCATCATCTGCAAGCATGATGTCATCACAGGCATCTTCTAAATTTTGGAGTTGTTTCTTTTTTACTTCTATTTCTTCCTTTAGTTCTGTGATTCTACTTGTATTCCGGGCAAATTTGTTTATCTTTTGCTGATCTTCAAAAGTAACATTGACATCTTCTGCAGCCGCTTTCTTCATGGTGGCCGCCATCTTCGAGATCTTTCTTTTTGATTAAGACATTTACTGCTCTAGATGTCTTAGTACTTTTTGTTCTTTCCATAAGTTTGGGTATGTTGTGCTTTCATTTGTTGGAATGTATTTCTAATTTTCCTGTTGAGCTCTTCTTTGATCCATTGGTTGTTCAAGAATGTGTTGCCTAATTTCCTTATATTTGTGAAATTTTTAGTTTCCCTCTATTATTGATTTCTGTTTTTCATTCTATTGTAGTTGAAAAGGACATTTGGCATGATTTCGAACTCTTAAATTTGTTGATTTGTTTTGTGACCTATTGTAGGATCTTTCTTGTTGACTGTTCCATGTGTGATTGAGAGAAACATACCTTCTGCTATTATTGGGTAGGATGCTGTGTGTATATTTGTTAGGACCAATAGGTCTGTAGTGGTGTTCAAATCCTCTATTTCCTTACTGAAAGTGGGTTATGGAAGTCTTCAACTATCATTATGTTGTTTCTATTTCCCCCTTCTACTATTATTGTGTTGCTGTCAAATGTTTGCTTTTTTATATTTAAGTTCTATGATATTAGCTTCAAAATATATATATATATATATATATATATATATATAAAACATATATTTGTGAATTAACCCTTTTGTCATTATATAATGTCCTTCTTTGTCTCTTGTGACAATTTTCACTTAATGTCTATTATTTTAAGTATGCTTACTGTGTTCTCTGTTACCATTTGTTTTGAATACCCTTTTAACTTTCATACTACGTTTTATCTAAAATGAGTCTTATAGATTGTTTATACTTGATTCTTGTTTTCTTCATTTATTCAGCCACTGTTTGTCATTTCATTGAGAATTTAATTCATTTACTTAAAAAAATCAGTAGGGAAGGGTTTAAAATTGCCATTTTGTTAACTGCTTTTTGTCTGGTATCTTGTTAGCTCTTTTTTTCTCTTGCTGTCTTCTTTTGTATTTCATTGTATAGGTTTTGTGTTTGATTCCATATTCATTTTCTTTTGTGTATCTCATAATTATTTCCTTTGTGGTTACCATGAGACTTACATGAAACATATATAGCTGTAACACTATTCTAAGCTGATTGACAATTTACATATATAAACCTCAATTACATACATAAACTCTGTTCTTTTACTTTTTGCTTTCTGATGTCACAAATTACTTCTTTCATATTGTATGTCCATTTCCGTAGTTTAAGATTTCTAGTTATTTATACTTTTGTCTTAACTCATATTTCAGAATTAAAAGTGACTTATGCACCATGTTACCATATTATAGGATTTTTGTATTTTTTACATATTTACCTTTGCCAGAAAATTTTATGCTGTCCTGTGCTTTTGTATTCTATCTAATGTCCTTTTATTTCAACTTGAAGGACTTTCTTTTTAAAAAAACATTTCTTGTAAGGCGGATCTTGTGGTGGTGAAATCTCTGTGCTTTGATTTATCTGGGAATATCTTTATTTCTCTATTTTTAAAGGATGGTTTTGCCAGATATAGTAGTATTGGTCCTCCCCCACCCCACCTCCATTGCTTTAATTATATCGTCCCACTCCTTTCTGGATTGCAAGATATCTGCTGAGACATCTACTGAGATAGTCTTATGGGGACTCCTGTAATAATCCCATGATTCTAAATCAATTTGTTTATCAAAGACTTGAACTCTGAATGTGAAAAGAGAAAGCATGTAGATTTTGAATCCAGGTCTTAAGACAGTTAGTTACAGGTCCTTACCAGCTTATTTTAAATTTAAGGAAAAGCCTGAGTATTATTTTCTTTCTTTTTCTTTTCTTCCTGCCTCTGAAATAGTATAAGGCTCAAGAGCTGGTATTGACATCTCAAGTAAATAAATATATTTACACGTTATTTATTATGAACATATCAACCCATACTTATCATTATGCAAAAAAGATATTTTCCACAGATATACAACTGTATCTGTTTTTTTTTCCTCCAAGTAAAATGACAAATGTTTTATTGTTTCCATTTAACTGGACTTTTAATTTGGGCTACCATCTTTCAAAACTTTAATAAGTCTAAGACTATTTCCTACTCTGTTTCTTTATTTCTGAGATGGCCAGAGAAAAAAACACATAACTTCTAGTAGGGCCAGGGCTCTTTAGAAAAAACAAAACAAACCCGTACTCTTAGGCATAAATACAGTGCTTTATTTCTTTCTTGACAATATAATTAAAACATTTGTTTAAAAGCCACATGACAAAATACACTATTTTATAAGATGCCACTAAATGTGCTGATTACCTTTCCCAGAACTAAGAATCTGTCAGAGTGTCTTGGTAGAAATCTTCCCACAAGGGTATCTTTCATTTGAGATGAGTGCAAGGCAATCTAAGATAACCTTTTGTTTTTAATGAAAATGGGAAATAAGAAGCCAATTCAAAAATTTGTCTCCCTTCATTTGCCCAAGGTGAGAGAGTGATAGAATTTCTGTTCTGTTAAAAACACCATAAATTCTGGCTGTGTAAGGAGAGGCTGCAGTCCTTGCATGTATTGCTCCACGAGCTGCCATGGTCAAGCACAATCAGGATCACTAATGAATTAATGTTTAACCGTCACTTTTTTGTTGGTGGGGTTAAAAAGATATTTTTCCTTCTTGAAATTGAATTAAAGTAGATGTCTTCTAACCTTAGAAGGAACAAGCTTTCTAAGATTAGAACAGATAGTGGAAATTAACAAATACTGGACAACTCACCTTTGAAATGCAGTACGTGGAAGATCGTTTTTTACTTTGGCACTCCCTTTGTGCTCACTCAAAGTAGAGAATCAGCAAATGATTTTGAATTGAATTTTTAAAAGTAATATATAATATTATATTCAGGCCAGTCATTCAAAGTATACTGTTCAATAGCTTTTAGTGTATTTGCAGAGTTGTACAAATCTCACTATAGTCAATTTGAGCACATTTTTATCACCTTCGAAAGAAACTTTATAGGCATTTTAAGTTATTCACTATTTCCTATTTCCTAACCCTTTTCCTGGCCCCACCCCTCCCAAAAAGTCCTGGGCAACTACTAGTCTAATTTCTCTCTCTGTAGATTTGCCTATTCTGGGCATATCTTTCATATAATTGAGATCCTATAACACATGTCTTATGATTGACTTTTCACATTTAGCCTAATGTTTTTAAGGTTCATTCATGTTGTAGCATGTATCAGTACTTCATTTCTCTTTATGGCTGCACAATATTCCTTTGTTTAGTTATCCTACACTTTATTTTTCAGTTCGTCAGTTGTTGACCATTTATATAATTTCCACTTTTGGAACACTGATTAATACTGTTATTTACATTAATCTACAAATTTATCTAGACATGTTTTAGTTTTAGCTCTTATATTTAGGTCTAAAATCCATTTTAAGTTAATTTTTTACATGTGATGTGAGAAAGGGGTCCAGTTTTATTCTTTCGCATGTAGCTATCCAGTTGGTGGAATTCAGCACTATTTTATAAAGAGACCTTTCTTTTCCCCTGACATTTTTTCTTGTCATATTTATTGAAAACAAACTAATTACAAATGTAAGCATTCATTTCTGGATCCTGTATTCTATTCCATTGAGTTGTATTTTTATTCTTGTGTTTGTATCGTACTGTTTTGATTATTGTAGCTTTGTAGTAAATTTGGGGTTTCTCAAACTTCCCAATTCCAGATTTGAATTTGAGTCCTCAAATTTTGTTCTTCCTACTCGAGATTGTTTTGTCTATTTAGTGTCTCTTGCTTTTACATATGAATTTTAAGACCAGTGTCTTAATTTTTGCAAGGAAGCCAGCTGGGATTTTGATAGGAGTTGCATTCAATTTGTAAATGAATTTGGGAAATATTTTCATCTTAACAATTTTACATTGTGTGATCCATGAATAAATTGCTTTTCTCATTTTGTTACATGTAAAGATTGAAATAGGAACCTATAGAAATTTTAATCCATTAATTCTTAATCCCCTTATAATATACCAATTTTAATTATTTTGCATTGGAGGAACCCATTGAATATTTCATTATTATAGGACTTATTTTGTTGTTTTTAATACAGCTGAAATTTGACTTTTTGTTAGAACTACAGATTTCTTTGGGGTAGAATATATATTAATTTATGTATTCTGAGTTAATGTTATAGTTGTTTAAGAAAAATACTTTGGAAGCTAATTATAAAAAGTGGAATGCTATTGGTATTGCCATTAATAACAAATAGCTAACTGACATTTTTGTTTTCTGATTTATTCATTGTCATATTCCTTTCAAGAAAAAAAGAGGTAAACATTGCTTTATAAATTGATTGCTTGCTTTTAGAATAAGTTGTAGTTAATATATATTTACATTCATCTTAGGTACCAAATCTGATTCCAGTCTTGATGTTCAAATTGGGAAGACCACTGGAACCTATATTATATAATGATATATTGTATACTTTACCTATGCTTGGTGTTCACAAGGTTAGTATATTAATCAGTTTACTTGGGATAAAAAAAGAAAATGAGGCCTAAATAGTACATTGAATTCAATTTGGTATTATGAAATTGTAAGCCCCAATAACTATTCCCCTTATTGGTCCATGTTTAAGAATTAATCATTTAAAAAATTTGTAAATTTGTTGTAATTAGTTATACATTATAGTAGAATGTATTTTGACATATATGGAATATAACTTTCCATTCTTCAGGTTGTACATTGGTCATGTAATCATATAGGATAATAATGTCTGATTCATTCTGCTATCTTTCCTATTCCCATTCCCTATCCCTTCCTTTCATTCTTCTTTGTTTAATCCAAAGTACTTCTATTCTTCCCTACCTACCCCCAAGAATTAATTCTTCTAAGTTACTTCATATCCAAATTTTCACATTGACTTTCTCTGAGATCCTCTGAGGTCCTGTTTTTTCTAAGATTCTGTTCCCCCAGGATTGCTAGCTAGCCCTTACCAAAGTTATTTCCCATCCTCTAAGAAGATGAGTAATATTTCAGCAAGCTTCCATTTCAGTCTTCACTTAATA